TTAACTCTTTGGAAGCAGTCATGTTTAATTGCTGCGATGCAGTGTAAAAGTGAACTCAAGAACTATGGATAATATACAACGACAAATCTCACAATAACTTAAGGACATTCTGTACTTCCTTTTGCTATTATTCCATTTACAGCCGTCCTCTATGGTGGAGCCTGAGCTATAGGGTTAATATGGTCCTGTCTGTGCCTTTGATTTTATGTCTATATATTGTTCATAATCTGAGTTCAATACCTTTAAGGAAGGAAAATAAATTAAACAAATCACTGATGTGTGGACCAGAAATGCTAAATATGTGGCCAATATATTGTACAGCATATTATTATAGTTGTTAATTGTAACCGACTTATTACAGTGTTTAATAGGAAGCCAGTATAAATCATTGTGGATCTTACTCATTTATATGGCTGAAATGGAGAGGAAATATGTCAAATGCAATAAAGATGTTTGATCATTGAGAACAAGATTCATGAAATGAAGCTAATCTGCTAATTTGCATGTTCACTCACCTGTAAGCCATGATGTGAGTATGTTCACCTACCACAGATCACAAAAGATGTGGGGTGTGCTCAGTGACCTGTTAAACAAATTTAAATCATAATTTTAGTGCTCTAATTCCAGCTTAGCTGTAAAATAACCACACTAAAAGTCTTCAGAACAATATGCAGTTTCAGTTTTGTTTTACTCAGATTACAAGTAAACTCCAGTGAATTAGGGTAATCCATTATAAATTGGTTTATAATGAAAAACATGGAAAACAAACACCTTATAACAACTTGTAAGTGGAACCTTATCTGCTGAAAGAAATAAAACTGCTCTATTCTTGGTTTTGATCAGCTCTGTTTCATTGATATTCCGTAATGAATGCATGTAAATCAGTGAAACTGAGTCAGTCGTGTTGTTTCAATTGAAATTAAGTGAGTCCTCAGATTAAGTGTTTATTTAGTCAATGTAATCTTGCTGAGTAAAATTCATCATCTTTCCCACTGGCTCCTGGAATCATTTATTAGCATATTCTTTTATTTGTTTAACTCACCCTCTTTGTTGTTTTTTCACCTTGTCTACCTTTTCTTTGGAGTGCACATGGCTTATATTCCCTGGTTAAGTGCTTAGCAACTTTGTTAGCTGCAAGTGCAAGTTACCACAAAACCTGCTGCTAAGTGATATAATAGCTCAGTAATACAGTAAAAACCTCATTACGTTATGTAGATCTTAACCTATAAAGTTTATGTTCTTCTTTTACTTGATTTCACTGAGTAGGCCTAAATGTTACTCAACCTTAAAAGATACTTAACACAGTTGCATGGAAACATTTGTTAGTTAATTTGAATGTACCCAAATCACTTTAGTATGATTTACCTGAATTCATTACATACATATTACTCAATCAAGTGTCTCAGGGCATTTTAACAATAGAGTGCTGTGCCAGACCCAGGACTGCTTACTCTGCAAGTGTGGTACAGTTGGTCAAGTGAGAAAAGTGTTTCGAGCCCAGGAGCACTCCAGAGAACCGATCTCTGGTACTCCTGAAATCAGTGGTCAGGTGTGGTCCACTGCAGTGAATGCTATCCGCTCCCGGCCCCACATGTGGGGTTGCATGATTGATTCCTTTTGTAATGTAACGATGGAATGTCTCATAGATACACTATCTTGCCAAAAGTATTAACTCACCCATCCAAATCATTGAATTCAGGTGTTCCAATCACTTCCATGGACACAAGTGAATAAAACCAAGCACCTATGCATGCAGACTGCTTCTACAAACATTTGTGAAAGAATGGGTCGCTCTCAGGAGCTCAGTGACTTCCAGTGTGGTACTGTGATTGGATGCCAGCTGTGCAACAAGTCCAGTCGTGACATTTCCTCACTACTAAATATTCCACAGTCAACTGTCAGTGGTATTATAACAAAGTGGAAGCAATTGGAAACAACAGCAACTCAGCCACGAAGTCGTCGGCCACATAAAATGACAGTGTGGGGTCAGCGGATGCTGAGGCACATAGTGCGCAGAGGTCACTAACTTTCTGCAGAGTCAATCACTACAGACCTCCAAACTTCATGTGGCCTTCAGATCAGCTCAAGAACAGCGTAGAGAGCTTCATGGAATGGGTTTCCATGGCCAAGTAGCTGCATCCAAGCCTTACATCACCAAGCGCAATGCAGTGGTGTAAAGCGCCGCCACTGGACTCTAGAGCAGTGGAGACGTGTTCTCTGGAGTGACGAATCACGCTTCTCCGTCTGGCAATCCGATGGACGAGTCTGGGTTTGGCGGTTGCCAGGAGAACGGTACTTGTCTGACTGCATTGTGCCAAGTGTAAAGTTTGGTGGAGGCTGGATTATGATGTGGGGTTGTTTTTCAGGAGTTGGGCTCATCCATAAAGACATGGATGAGTGAGTTTGGTATGGAAGAACTTGACTGGCCTGCACAGAGTCCTGACCTCAACCCGATAGAACACCTATGGGATGAATTGGAGCGGAGACTGCGAGCCAGGCCTTCTTGTCCAACATCAGTGTCTTTGTCTTCTTTTGTGTGAAAGCGCAACAGCAACAATGAGAGCCAGTCCTGAGTGTGGACTTAAATATTCAGGAAAAGTGTCAATATGCCCTTAGAAACAACCTAACACAGTTGCATGGAACCACTTGACATAACATTTGTAAATCCAACATTTCATTTTTTTGAGTGAAGTCAACTCCCACCTGGAATGATATTTAGAAAAACCAACCAGAAAACAAGTTCACTGAAGCAAAAAACTGAAGTAGTCTGTAGTAAGAAGATCTAAGATGACTAAGAAACCTAGGGCCATATTTTCATGCCTGCACAAGCGCAGTCTAATGGTATAAAGCCAGCAGATTTATAATTTGGTTGGTTGCGAGCAAGTTTATTCCCATTCATGCCCATTTGCTATTTTAGTGGTCAGAAATGTTAGCACCTGCCATGACATGGGTGGAACGGCACAGCAGGGGATCATTCAAAATCTGCCAGTAAAACAGTGTTTTCAAACTCATTTTGGTCCATAATGCGCCTTTTACCATCTATACAGATTTATCAGAAACGCATGTGTAAAACTGCATTTTCCTGCCTGCAAATACAGACCTTAAGATGTGTCCAGTTACTCATAGTAGGATTTTTTTTGGATGAGCACTAATTATATTACCCTACTACACCTGCCCATCCTTGTTTCCTGCTTTCTGCTGTCACCCCACAATTATCATAATGTATCATATCAATAATGTATCATAACCATAATTTTTTTAACGTTTGGTTTTGTGTTTGTCTTCCATTTTGCTCCTCTGAACAGATTAAACTAAATGATGGAAATAACGGTTAACACAAACTGTACCTGGTGTCATTTATGGTAAGCTGTAAAATACAAAAAAGCCTACATTAAAAATAAACTATGAATATTTTCTTAAGTAATCTTAAGAATATAATTAAGATTTTCTTTGATCTGACTTTGACTTTTTCTTAGGACTTTTCTTGAGAACAAAGTTAAAACTTTTTGCTGAATCCGGCCCCAGGAGAGCTCTTGGTGAGCAGAGCAGCAGCACACACAGTGCAGTTTTACTATGACTCTTTTTTTTTGCCACTTCCTGAGAAATATGTGCAAAGCAACGCATTTAGTGGGGGCTGACGATTGGTTGGTGGAGCATTGCCACACATATGCGGGACCTGCATGCATATTACCACATATATCAATTGAATTCTGAGCTGAAGTGATTGCCATAAAGCAGGGAAAGTTTAAAACGTGCAAGGCAGGAGGCCTTCAGAACCAGTGCTGGGAAACACTACACAGTTATTAAAACCCACTGTTTATGGAAGCTTACTTAAATAACTAAAGTGCTTGGCAAAAATATTGGGCAAATGTATCTGATTTTATTTACTTCTTTTGATTTTTCATTGTTCATTACTTTTTAGTTCATTTTTTAAATTCTATTTGCCTTAGCGAAATTCCACTATTAGTGTAGTTCATTTTCCAACCAGAAAAACAATAGGAGTATTACAGCTTTATTTCAAAGAGAAATTATCTTATGTAATTACATACTGAAAAGGAATTGTAGGAAACAGTCCACAGAAAAAAGTATAAATGAAGTCACGCTTTACAAAAAATAAGATTTGCAGGACTCTATTTTCATGCTAGCACAAGTGCAATCTAATTGTTCAAAGCCGACACGTTACTAACTTGGTTGGTGAAGCCCATTCACACCCATTTACTATTTTGGTGGTTAGAGATGATGTGAGTGTGATGACGTGGCTGGAGTGGCTCAACATATTTCTGTGTTATGTGTAGAGAAAAAATGGCTCCTTACTTTTATAAACCCGCAAAAAATCAGATCAGAAAATAATTATCGTTTTTATATATTTTTATAATAATTGCAATGACAAATCACCAAAAATACACAATAATAAGAACAAATAAAAAAATAAATGAATAAAATCAGACAAATAAAATACGTTTTGGCGGAGCACTGTACTTCTTTAAGTTGTCAAGAACTACGGATGATTCCAAAGTTTCCATGAAGAGCACAGTGGGTTTTAATAGCTTGGTGCATTAGTAGAATTCAGTTCAGGTTCGGCATTTGGGGATCATTGTGTGTAACAATGCTCCACCAACCAATCATCCCCCACTACATCCATTTTGCTTACTTCTATAAGGACAAGAGGAAGCAGCAAAAAGAGCCAAAAGCTGAGTCTGCAGTAGTGTACAGAGGATACCAGATAGGGTGTACCCACACTGCACTGCATTGTTTGGTTAAAAGATTCACGCCAACTTCTCTAAGTAGGATAATCGAGCAAGTAAGAAGCATTCAGAACACAAAAAACCCAACAGCCATCAGCAGAAGGATGTTTTTAATGGAGGTTATTTATTTATTAGGTACTTGGTGAAACAACATGCAAGCTCTTCTCATGTGTGCAGTCAAATTCAGCATTTATATCGGACTAGTGGCATGACGTTTATAGTGTTTATGATGTTTATGGTGTTCATATGATGGAGATGACCAGTATGACCAGTGTAGGGGATAGTGTTCAGGGGACTATTATATACCTATAATAGTGTTCTACGTAGTGCTCCTCATTTTCAAAAGTAAGGTATAGTGATCAGGGCAGTTAATTAATTACACCTTTGTATGAAAGATTCAATTTGAATAGAAGCCTAAATAAGTTAATGTAATGTGTTTGTCAAGCAGTAAATAAGAATCACAGTGTAAAATGAAATTGCCTTTTGCGGTGTACGGCTACAGAATGAGGAGCGCGTTAATGAGTTCATTAGTTGAATCAGGTATTCTAGATGAGACAAAGCACAAAGGTGCACAGTGTGAGATCACCAAGACTGGGATTGGAAAACTCTGAGTTAATATGACAAATGGCTCCCTACTCCCTATATAGGGTACTACAGGGGAACACTGAAGCAGAAGTGTGAAAAAACAGGTGTGTGGTCACTCGATCCTTGTCATATTAAAGAATCTGACAGTTCTGATCAGTAAATAATGTTGTCCCTGTAACATTGTCTTCATTCATTTCATATTCTTTCACACAAATATCACATATTAAACTTGGCAGCAGTCCAGAACATAAAGATAATGACATTACTGGTTAAAGAAGATCAATCCCTGTTTATGCTGACTGCAGGTTTAACCTACCTGTGTCTGAAGCTTGTCCTGCACGTGTAAACTGTGGAATGCCTGATATTCTCTAGGAGTAACTGGCTGCGAGTCTCAGACTAACTAAAACAGACCTAATCAGTTGATGTCTTCTGCAGAACAGTAGGGTAACTGTAGTTACTCTAAGAGGTCTGAACTGTGAATGCGTTGCTGTTGCTTTTTAAGCCCAGGCGTTACCCCTTCAGACTCGTATCAAACCAGTGATTGGCTATATTGGATAGTAAGTAAAAGACATCACGTGATTTCTGAGAACGGGTGAATTTTCTTCATATTCGTGTCTATGTTGGTATCACGTGATTTCTGAGA